CGCTGGGCACCCTGTGCCCCTCTCACAGCACCATTGGTGTAACACCCTTATCCCCACAGACCCTCTCCTGTGCATTCCTTCAAAACAGATAAATCGTGCTTTCCCTCCCTGCGGAAGGCGGGGTTCACCCATCGGCCGGAGCTCATTGTGGGGGGGCAGAGTGCGTGCTCCCACCCTGAGGAACCCAGTACCTCACCCACAGGGGTGTCCCTGCCACGCTCCCTGCTCCCTCGTATGGGACTGGGGGATTTGGGGTGCTGGTGCTGGGGCTAGGGCTGCAGTTCGACGGCCAGGCTGGGGGCGCAGGAGTGGTACAGGGGGACCGGTGCTTTGCCCCCTACCCCTGAGGCAGCCCGTGCTGAGATGGGGCTGTACGGGGAGGCCGGGGCTCTTGGGAGGGCCGGGGCCATCACTTCTCCTGGTGGACACGCAGGGAAGTGTCTGGCCTGAAGACACTCTTTGGCACGGTTCACGCATTTAAATAATAAATACCACCCCGATCCACTCCGGGGGTGCTGCTTTTAATTTTCTGTTTACATCCCCACGGCGTGCTAATGAGAGGAAAAGATTTTCCAAAAGAACTGTAGCAACAACAACAATAATTGAATGCTTTAAAGCAAGCCCTTGTCCTCGCCTAGTGATATCTGGAAAGTGTTCTCCTGGAGCTTGCTCTCCCATGGCCTTTGGTAGGGAGAGGGCAATGGCCTGGGTGTCCCAAAGCACCTGCCCCAGCAGTGGGGTGGCCCTGCAAGGGGCTTGTTGCTCCCACACCCGCTATGTGAAAAATAATGTGCCTGGAAATAGCTCAAAGATGGAAGAGATGGGAAACAGCTTCACCCAGTGTGTTTCCAGAACGTCGCCTTGTTCTGGTGTTTCCCGATTGCTAACTGCGTTACCACGGCTGTTCAGCCGCGAGAAATCAGTAGAAGCGGTTAGATGAGCTGGTGTTGAAGTGACTGGGGATAAAGATGAAGCTTTGCTTCCAAAACATTACAGGGGTGCAGATGAGGGTTGGCTAAAGCATAGGTGAAGCGGCTTGGAGAGCTGAGAGTAGCAGGAGGAACAAACCCCTTGCACGGGGCCTGCTTGTGCAGGACACAATGGTTGGGCTCGGTAGAACTAGCAGAAAGATGGGTTGTGTTGCGTGTTCATGACTTGGTGTAGCACTCGAAGGCTCTCTAGGTGTGGATCATGGTGACTGATTCAGAGGGGCTGCGGCGTAAGGAGAAGGAGATTTTGGAGGGTGGTGATTATCATTTAATTGAGCGTTACATTAAGTTGGTATTACAGTTACTCTTTATAGAAGGGATGAGGGAGATCTTACTTTATTGCACTCACGTTGCAGTTTTCATTTGAAAGGTCTGAGCCTTCTCCTACCTTACAGCAATTCAAAGGATGCGGTCGCAGTTCATTAGAATAAGGGAAAGATCTAAACTAAGTATTAAGCTCTTTATAATATTATTTTAATAAGAATACTTACATGTGAGAAAAGGCTAGAGAAGGGATTAGTACATTTCCAAAGCTTTTTGTGTGCATATATGTACACTTATGTCATACATTTGAGTCCTACAGCTGACAGGGAGGTGTAGATCTGACCAATTTACTGCTGCATCAGGAGTGCATCTTGCCCCTGCCACCCTTCTGCTGTGGCTGCATCTGTGTTTCCGCAGATGCAGTGCATACTTTTAAAAACATGCTGAAGATATTTACTCCCTCATTTATTGGCAAATTAATTTGAAACTCACTTGAATTAATTTTAATCATTAAAAAAAATAAAATAATTTTTCTAAATGTAACTTACATACGGCTGCGCAGTGGTTTTGCACCAGAGAAGTTGCACATGTCATACAGTGAAACACTTGACTGTGATAGAATAGAATATAATTATCTCTGGAAAGGAAAAAAAGACAGATTTGGGCTATTGAAATCTCAGCTAAACAGTAACTTGGAAGTAAAATAACTCACAGACAACATAGTTTTTGAAGTTTTATTGGCAATAAATAATATGATGATGATAATGTTTTGAGTGGTGTATTAAGTATGTCATAATTCTCTTGCAGAGTTCTAGTTAAAAAGTACTCTGGATGTAGCACTGTTTTAATTTAAAAAACAGATATAAATCAAATGCAGGAGAGGAAGTGTGTTATAAACAGTGCTGGTTTGATTATAATTTTTTTAAATAATGTTGGCTTAGTATTAGATTGGATTTTAAGAATTAATATTTACACGCGCTGGAGAAGGAGTCCCTGTTGATTGTCCTAAAAAGATTATTAATGCAGACTGGTTTTGTGGGGAAGAGTAGTAGACATGTACCTATTAATTTAGCTCTAACTATCTATTAATATTGCAGCATAAAATAAATGGATATTGTTCACCCACGTCCAAACTATATTCGTTTCTTAATCTTAATAGCCAGCGGTACTTTATTTGAGTAGAGTCATCAGGATTTGCCCCTCAGTTTATGTGTCTGCCTGGGAGTTTTTACTGAAAGTCGTAAAGACCCAAATTGCCACTTTAGATGTGACATGTGGCTTCTGTATGATGCTGAGAGTGGCAGAGTCTTAGTGGATCTAAAGACAGGGTTTAAAAAGCGGACGTGAAGCCTAAAACCTCTCTCCAGTAGCACCACAGTAGTTAAGGGTCTGTCAGCATTTCCACTCCAAACCCCAATTTTCAGAGTTTATAACTCAGCTGGTTTAAATAGCTTCAAGCTGAAACCTGCTGTATAAATTGTCAGCCCAGATGTATATTCTGAAACAAAAAGAAGTGCAAATCAGCTATTCTGTTTTAAGTTACAGAACATTAAAATATTTTTAATAGTATCAGATGCTCTTTTGGCAATCCCTGGAAAACGCGTTCTTAATACAGATGATTTTACATTCAGGGGCAGTTTGAATTTGGAGTTTCACAAGAAAATTGTTAAAGTGATAGATATCAGTGATTGAGAGGAACTATTTAGCATGTACGCTGGCTTTTTTACTGAAACAAGCATTTTAGTCTGCAGAAAAGCTTACTACCTGCTGTTGTATAGTAGTTTTGCTTCGTGCTTATAACTTCTGTCTTTAGGGTACATACTTTGGCCAGTTTAAATCCCACTGGACCGAAACTGGGCAAACAGGTTGCCTAACCAGATGAAAATTGTGTTATGCGAAAAAAATACATAGTTATTTTCAACTTGTAAGAATCGGTTTGCTTGTATTTTGTGGCTTCATCTGACTTTGTGTACCTTTTTGAGCTTTAGTAACAAAAAGGAAAAAAAAGCAAATTCTAACTTTAATCGCCAAAATGCGAAGGTGGTTTAATGCGGAAAATGAAGATTTTGAAATATTTATGTTTGAAGAATAGGTCAGGAATGGGCACTGTGGCTGCTTTTAATCTTCAGGTTTTTGCGCACTCATTCATTTCACAGTGAACTTGCAATCCTTTTTCTAAGAGCATGTAAATAATTCTAGATTCATACATGGCAGATAATTACCAAATCAAGTTTTATGCCAACAGTCCTTCAGTATGTAAAGTTACATTTAAAAATTCTTAAAATTATGTGTATTTCTCCAGGTTTCAAACTTGTTTTGCAAAGCTTTTTTTTCTACCCAGTGATATTATGTATGTGTGCAGTAGTCTTTCATGGCAAAATACGAAATTATGAAAAAGACAAGAATTTTACTGCAGCAGAGCTTCCCATGTAATAGGACTTTATTAGCTAAAGTTTTCATTTTCCCCTCTGATTTCAGTTTGTCTTTTCCTTCAGTCTTCTCATAGCAAGATGAATAGTGATATTGCATCATACTGCATCCAAAAGCCAGTGCAGCTCAGTAGTGATGCAGTTCTTGATTAGGTGCAGTCAGCCCGGTGACTCTGGCAGTGGTACGTGCAGTTTTAGGCTGATGTCTAAGCTGACAAATTGAACTGACATTGTTGAGTGGAAAGGGTAGGGAGGAAAGCCCTGAAAAGCAACAGGGGACAAGGGGACCTTTTAAGAGGATTTGGTCCCTCCTGCCCAGGTGTTGCAATCTGAACCCATGTTGGGGAGACCGGGTTGAGACGGAGATGCGATTCTGCCTGCTCAATGCTCTGGTTACCTAGAGAGAAAGAGGTGAGCTGAGGCTGCAGTCGTTCTGCTCCCTCTTCCGAGGCCCCTGGCAGGCTCACACTTCCTCCTGTGCTCTTGGCTTCTTTGCATTTCTGGAGTTAATGTGATTTTTTTTACTTTTTTTTTATTTTGGTTCGTGAGATATAAAAAGCACAGGTTGCAGCTCCCTGGGATGCCAACGTGCGTGGCAGCACTGTCCAGGGAGAATGTGGACTATTGCACACTGAGAAGGGAGTGTTCTGTGAGTAGTCTGAAGCCCCATGCGTTAGAGTTTAAGCCAATACTCATTTATTAAGGGTTAGAGTCAGCTCTATCTAATCTGTTCAGCAGATTATTGTTTGTTATTTGATTATTATTTATTATTCCTTACACCTCGCTTTGAAGCTGTCAGACCCGGTTGCTGTCAGACCCAAGGCAGTGAGTTAGTGGGACCTCAGATCTTATCTACAACGGTGGTTCCTGTGTTTTTATGTTCAGGGACGTTCACGTCACTTTACAGTAAAATCTTTGCTTCGTAGACAGGGACCTCACAGTATTTTGTGGTGAAACTTAGTTTTCACTTTTGGGTGGTAATACCTGGTGTTTTTATGGAAAAGCAGAAAAGCACCAGGGTAGATCCTTTTTATCCAGTATTTCAGCTTTACTTTCTTCTTTCTCTTCAATATTTCTTTTAAAGAAGACTAGCTGTGTTTTTCAGTAATATAGTCTATTTTAAATATTTCCAGATTTTGTATGCCCTTGCATTTGTTTTAATCATTTTAGAGAAACACTGTACAGTGCATTGGGCTACTCTCCCTATATATTCAGAACTCCTCGTCCTTTCCACTTAGTTAAGATTACAGTGCAACCTGCAATTATTAGTTTCAGCCAGGATCATTTCTGGGAAAGACTTTACAAACAGGGCTTATGACAAAATATAATACATATTTCAGGAGACAGAATAAGTTACTACAAATAATATAAAAAGTCGTATCTGACCATGTAAACTGGTAGAAACTGCAAGACTTCATGTCTCAAGATTCTTATTTTTCCAAGTTCAAGATCAGCCATGCAATATTTCTGAATCTCTTCTTGTTGTGAATTTATTTCCAGCATCAGTATTAGGTAACTGGGCAAAAGGAAATAATTTTCTTGGTACTACTTTGTGACTTCTGTGCCCCATGTGAAGAAATGTGTAAAATTTCTTTGTAGTAACTTTGTGTTTCCATTTATTTTTATTTTTAGAAGTCAAAATGCAGTAACAGTGTAGGTATCCCTGGTGCTTTCAAATCAGAAGACAGTAGCTGTCTGCTCTGTGGCATTTATTAATCAGATGTTGGAGTGGCTACAGAACCACTGAAGCATGAGACTATCAGCTAGCTGAAACATAAAGGAGAAATACTTTGATATCTTCTGTTCATCCATCCTGGAATTTGAGGGAGGTATCAGAACTAACCACACACGACTCTTGCGAGCTCTATGAAAATTTACATGCCTGCAAGGAAATACAGCCTTTGTTTTGTATTGCATCTAAAGAGTTTGAATTCCAGCCATCAAGTCCTCCATCACAGCAGCGTCTTGGGTGGAGAGCTTTGTCTGCTAGTGCCCCTGGTGCCATTCCTGGGATGGGTGGATGGGGGTTTCTCTCTAGCTCGAAGTCTGAGGAGCTCCAGGATCAGGGTGATGGTGCAACCAGCAAAGAGTAGAACCGAATCTGGGGGATAAGGCTGCTAGTAGCAATTACTAACTTTCCATTTCAAATGCATTCCCGCGTATAATTTATGGATACAAGCCATGCCTCATGTTTTCTCTCTGCTCACTGGTTGCTAAGAACAAAGTTGGCCTTCAGGAAGCATTAAACCATACACTCTGCATAAGGATGTTGAATGTTTTTGAAGAAATGTAACAAAGAAGAAACTCCCTATTAGGCTATGAGAAAGGGAGACAATACAAGATGTTTCTTTGTTTGTGGCAGTTTGTTCTATGTTCAGCTAATACATGACTCTTCACCACAGTGAGCTGGAGAAGCTGCCACAGAGCTTCGTAATGAGGGTGGCAGCCTGCAAAGCTGGAATGGAGACACGTGTTTTCAAAGTGTTGCTTCACGAGTTGTGGTTGTCTTCCCATTTTAACAGGTGGTGGCCTTAGGAGAAGTGCCTGATGGGACGGTGGTCACTGTCATGGCTGGAAACGACGAGAACTACTCTGCAGAGCTGCGAAATGCTTCTGCTGTGATGAAGAACCAGGTGGCCAGATTTAATGACTTACGATTTGTGGGCAGAAGTGGAAGAGGTAGGCTGCTGCATTCTCTATGTCCATCGTGAAGTAAACCCAATGTCTAGACACCAAACTTACTTTGAAACGAAATACTGATTAGTCTGTAAATACACCATTGTTGCCCTTTCATTTGGAGGGATGAATGCTTGTTTTATTTGCAAGCTTCAGCACTTTTGCAACTTAAACAAATTGAGTTTCTCCTAAGTTTTTCTAGCTCCTCCCATCTCTGTACACTTTTATCAGACACAGGTTTTGAAAAATGGTCCACGGAGTACCTGCTTCCCTATTTTAATCTAACAGCATAGGTAGACAGAAGTGGGGATATTTGTGATCTGAGTTATGTGGAGTCAGAGAGTGTATCTCAGGCCATGGCAGTGAGAGATGGAGAATTCCCTTTAGCAGTAGAGCTGCTTCTGAAGTTACAGAAGAGCTATAATTAAAGGGATTTTGCATATCATATGTGCTATAGGTTATATTCTTTAAGGGCTTACATCTTTAAAGGCTCACGGCTACTGGTGGAAAGCTTTCTAGCGACTTCCCTACCCTTTACGATCATACTGCATATGACTTGCAAAAATAAGCTGTACTTTTCTTTTTAGTAAACTGGTTGACTTTTTATGAATTGCTGGTAAGCCTGGGCTTGAACTAAGTTTCACCTTTACTTTAAATGACAGGGTAACTAACTCTTTTTTTGAAGAGTTAGAGTGCTGTCATTGTCTTCCAGCTGTGTAGGAGCTTCCTATAATCTGGAAACTGCCCTGCACGCATAGAAATCCTTTGTAATCAGTGCAAGTTTGCAAGAATTCCTTTTAAGAGTCTTGTGGCTGCTTTCAAATTTCAGGTAGTGATTGAAAGGATAGCTTGAAGGAAGCTGGCACTTCAGTATTTAGTGCAGGAATCTTCAGAGGCACTTGTTCTGTCAGTCATTGATTCAACCAATATAATTTTTCCTTTATGTATTTGAAATAATTATTCAGGTTTTGTTGGGTTTGTTTTTTTTTTTTTTAACTAGCCCTGCACAGGGCAAAGCAAAAGAATAGAAGCCGAACAATTGTGCTGGAAAATCAGCAATAAAACTAATTTCACAGTAATATTCTTTAGAAAGCACTTGCAATTCATCTTAAAGAAGGAGAGTATTTATCCAAAAAAACCCCAAACATAGGGCAGAGGCCTAGGTAGTCTAAATCAGTCTGCATGCTTTTGCATGTGCTTCCTGAAAGTAAGTCCATAAGCGTGACTTACAGTGGCTATTTTTTATTTTAGTGACCTGGCCAACAATTCTCTTTATCATTTTACAACTTAAGAAGTACCTATAATAAAGAATAACTTGAAAGATGGAATAACTATTGCACCAGTAATGCAATATAAATATGGAGTTCATTGCCCTTTGGGATAAGGTGTTACCTATCTCTTCCATTTGTCTTGCTTTCTTTAAAAAAACCAGTCTGCTTTGTTTTTCTGCTGATGGATTAGGTTTGAAAGCTTTCTGGCTCCATCACTACTGCTGCCTTACAGTAAAAGTTCAGTAGTGTATCAGTCTTTCAGTAGTGCTGAAAAAGAACTGAAATGTGATGGACTGCTACCTCTGATCTGTGAATTTCATTTGAAACTTGTGATATATACTTTTTATTAAAGAATAGGAAGTGAAATTGAGGGCCTAAAACCTCAGTAGATATGGCTACGGACACACATAAACACAAACTTCTGAAAATTTGTTTCCAGTACTTTAGTTTATATTTGTATCTAGCAGACTTGGAATAGACTTTTTCTCTGATCAATCGGGGTAGAATCTATGGAAAAGTGATAGTGTACTTTTCAAACCCTCAATATATTTATTTAAGAGACTTCAAAGACAAACATAGGGTGTGCACTGTTTTACTATATTGGCTTTCTGAGTTTTGGCTAGTTTCCCAAATAGCAATTTTTATATTTAAAAAAAAAAAGGAAAAAGAAAAGGAAGAAAAAAGACAGACTTAACTGCTTGCAGACTTTTCACGCATGGAAGATGAAGAAAGCTTCTTTTGATGAAGTGTAATTATGTCCAAACAGAGCTGACCCCCTCCCCCTATATTTCTTATGATCTTAACGGAAGAAAGTAGGGCTTTTCCTTTGAAGCAGCCGGGACTCAGTGGAGGATCTGAAATGCTGCATTCTGCTGCCAGAGGCAGGATGGAGAAATTGGTCCAGACTTGTCTTCCAGACTTAGAACAGAGAGGAGGAGAGAGAGAGACGGAGAGAAGGAGAAAGGGTTATCATTAATGATAGATTTTTAGAACTCTGCTTAAAATATCAGGAAAAGAAAGCAGTAGTTACAAAGAGAACTGAGAAAGCTCCTTACGTAGACAAATATCAGTAGATGGAGGTCTTGAAGTAGAAGAGGAAAAATAAAGTAATAAAGAAATCACTTTTCGGTAGCGAGAAACTAATCCACACCTGTTCCTGACTTTAGATTTACATCTTTCTAAACAGCTCGCTCTTTGATCTCTGTATCTCTAAATTTGATTGTGGAGTCTGAATCATCAGCTTACCACTTCACCTCCTCTCCCACGTTTTTTTCTTGCTTCCCATGGCTCAATGGAGAAACTTGATTTTTATACATATTAATGTTGCTTGCCTGACAGAAGCTTCAGGTTTTTGTTTGTGTAATTTCTCTTAAACACCTTTTCTGGATTCATGAGGCTAAGTAACTGGGGCATTTTGTGTGAATGCAGAAGTTGTTTGTATGTGGTTTTCAGGCGGTAGCTCACTTTTACAAGCCTGATCCACAGCACAGAGAAGAAAGAATTCCTGTCTTCAATAAGCAAAGGATCATAACCTTAATTTTGTTGTGTCCTGATACTTTAATCACATTAGCATCTAACTGAAAAAATATGCAATGCACACAAGCTGCTGAGTCTCCTTTCAATCTAATTTCTGGGGTTTGCCTTGTGCTTCAGCATACGTCCATCTCGTCTTCCTCTGTGTCAGCTCAGCTCACATGTGTGAATAACAAAGAATGCACAGTTTAGACACACTGAAGCAATAGTGCCAGATGACTGCTTGGCCAGGGAATTTAATAAAAGAGAACTACAGTTAGTCTTTGGCCTCTGAAAATGGATAGTTGAAATGACAAAGAGCAATAAAGAAAGGTGATAAAAAGTGCATTAAAGGATTTCGTAGCTGAGGAGGGATATCTGTGAAATATCAGTGGAAGGCACAAGCATCACTGAAAGAGGGGACCCTAAAAATTTACTTTGCTCATAATCCTGTAATATGTCAATCATCTCTTGAAAGCTCTGGGAGCTGAATGTGCTGGCCCGGCCACACAGTGCCCTGTGAGGAAGTGATGTATCAGTTACTGAGTGCGAGAGGGCTTCGTCAGTGTTACTGCATCAATGATTTGGTTCGGTGGAATACCAGTTAGAGAACAAACCCCTTTCCCTTTCAAATTAGATGCTTACTTGTTCAGTTTAGGCTGGCAAAGAGGTGACAATTTAGCAATGCTTACAGGTGAGGTTGAAATGTAGCTCTATATTAAGGCATGCATCTTTTTCTGGCTACTGCACTTTTGGGATATATTTAGTGCAGAAGACCTTGCAGTGCCTTTCTGTAGAATGATTTTATAGGGTCTTAGAGATAGTATATTTTGTTGGCTTAATTTTTGGTCGTGATAGACTTTTATAGTGATTTGGCGTAAATAGAGCAGTAGCATTGGAAGGCCAAACTTTTCATTCAAAGGTATATGGAAATTCCCTTTAGTGTCTTTGTTACCAATAATATTCTAATATTCTACTGATTTTTTATGGGTAACTGTGACCTGAATGCCACCATCATACAATTTATTAGTCAGAACTTTTTGACATGGTAAGCTGGTGCCGAAGGAGGCTTTAAACCTGTCCCTGGCAGATTATATACATCCAAGCAATAGTCTGAATTCCTACTTGGAGAGGGATAAAAGGCATGGATCCTTTTCAATCCTAAACAAGCAGGCACGGAGGCACTATGTGCTTCAGCAGTGCTGTTGTTTGGTGTCTAAAGGCTGCCTATGCACACTCTGATGCTGGGGACGGTGGATGGGCAGGACTGGATAAAGACTGGACGTCCTCCATACACCTAACCCTCCTTGTCCTCTGATCACTCTCAAAAAATCTGACAAACAGGCCATTTCTCAATGAAACCGGGGAAAGCCACACATCTCCACTGAGATGACAGAATTCGGCCTCCTAAGATTTTTGGCACCTTTGCCAGGGTCTCGACCTTCCCTCTATCCTGCATCTGTTGGAGACATGGGCACAACTGGAACGCAGCTACACCTGGAAAATCGTTTTACTCTAAATGACAGTTATATTTCCTTAAAAAAAAAATTCATGTCACATTCTAGTTTGTGAAAAATATAGCCAAGACAGTTTGAATTTGCACTGCTGATAATAAATGATGCATGTCGCAGGCAGGTTTGGGGGATATACAACTTGGACCAGAAAGAAAGACCAATTACTAGATTTGACAGCCAAAGCTCTGTTCTGTATTATGCCTTCTATATAAGCTGTTCTATATTAGGCTCAAAAAAAAAAATGCATTAAGTTTGTGCTGTTACATATCATTGAAGATTTGTGTCTTGATTGAATGCCTTCAGAGTTCAGCAAGAGGAAAAGCCCTAGCAACAAAAATGCACGTATGCACACAGGGAGGAGGGGGGTGGGGGGGAAGAGTTTTAAGTGTCTGGTAAAGTAGCAGCTTAAATGAGCATGAAGGCCGAAGTTTGCTGACTGTTTTATTGAGTCACTGTTGTACGCCCACCTTTTCCTGTCTTGAAACAGTTTTCAGTTTTGACTATCTGACATGACTAACCGTTGCATATCTAACAGATTACAACTGTCAGTGAGTCTCCCAAACGGGGGCCAGCGCCGTGTGAGAATGTGCACTCAGACGCAGGCAGCTCCCTTCATTTATTTCTTGTTAACGTTTTCATTCAGCTAAAGGCTGCGGATGATCTTGTGAAACCTCTGTGTGAATTCAGACTTTGAAAGATAGATAAATAAATAAATGCAGACTGACGAGAGCAACGTACGTGCACAGAGCAGTTTCTCACCCTCACAGGAAAGCTGGGGGTTTTCTCAGTATTTCATCGATGGAATATATGTAGGAAAAAAAAGTGTGTTCCAGTAATAATGATATCATCATATTACCCCTGGCATATGAAGGACAGGAGACACTGATTCCGTGTTAAAATGACTCCCAGGAGGAAAATACATTCTTTCCTCATCTTATTGTAGTCAAGTCAAACAAATGAAATGATAAAACTGTGTGAAGTAAATAACATGTGGCCACATTCTGCTCTCTGTCACACAGCTGCAAAACTGGAGTAAATTTTTGAATTATCTGACTTGCTTTGGATTTACACCACTTTCAATACAGAAAAGAATTTGTCTTGTCCTCAGCAGTGAATCACTTTTGTTCTGTCATTGTATGATGACCCATTATTAAATAAGAAACATTTAGATTGTCAACATATGGACATATTCTTGACATAGAGTAAAACTGAAGGGGAGGAAAACTCCTATGGTCAGTTATGTTTTTAATTTTCACGATTGTGGTAACGACAGGGAATAATTTTAAACATCTCTGATTCTTTACTGAACATGCATGTGACTGTTTTCATGTTGTAATCACTCACTCCTTGTTGTTTTTTTCCCTTTGTAGGGAAGAGCTTTACTTTGACAATAACTGTCCTGACAAATCCCCCCCAAGTCGCTACATACCACAGAGCTATAAAGGTTACAGTGGATGGGCCAAGAGAGCCAAGAAGTGAGTATTATATTCTTATTTTTACACTTACATCTGCTTAATTTTGTTTAACAGAGACCCGTAAATGAAATACATGTCTTTGTCAAACATTGGTTCTTGCTCAGCAAAATACGTAAGCGCATGCTTAATTTGGAGTGTGTTCGACCACACACATACTTGCATTATACACACACTTAAGTGCTTGGCTGAATTTGGGCAATCACGAACCTGATTCTCATTCACATCAAGGTCTTGATACACTATCTGACAGTGTAAATGAGAACTAAACCCACTGTATTTATATATAATCTGATTTAGGCATAATAGACTCAATCCTGCAGCATGCTGAATTCCCTAAACTCTTGTAAGCTTCCAACTGAAGGCATTTAGAACAAAATAGGAGACTCATCTTTCAGGATCAGTCCTAGCGCAGAGAGAAAATATATAATATAGTGTCTTTTTGTTTGCCCTTAAATTCTTTTGCCATCAGATAATTAATGCACCTGGTTAATCTCATCATAGCTCAAATTGGTTTTCAACTGTGGACTCATCATAGACCCCTGGGGGCCAAAGAAAGATAAAAAAATCATATCAACAGCATGGTCTTTGTTTCTTATTTGTGCACAGAAAGTATGTTTTATTTAAACAGAGCCCAGCAGATTTTCTCTTAGCATGTTTATCTCATAGCAGTGCACCTTCCTAACCTAGTAAGAATCTGTGTGCTCTGTTCACTGGCTATATTTTTATGACAATTGTGTTTTGTCATGTTCTAGCAGTTTTATGGGCAGCATTTACTTTTAGGTACAGTCAAGTCTGGTTAATACATGGCATTTTATATGGCTTTCTCTCTGTCTAGCACACTTAGCTGGTAGCCAGTTTCACATCGTATGGGTATCACTGATGAGCCAGTGGTGGATTTTTTTCTAAATCTAAATAACTTCTATTACTCTAAAGACTCTTTCTAAATTGATTGGATTAACTACGTATAGCTGTATTTAAATTACATTTAGAGATTAGGAATTATTTGATGAACAACCACATTAAAAAAATCCCTACAATGCTTCCATCTCAAGTAATTATTTTGCCTTTGATCTGCACATACAAATGAGACCTTTAAGGAGTTTTCATGGAGTTTAGTTTACCACAAAGACTGAAGTGGGAAAACATAGATAGAATTCATGCAGTCAAGTGTTTCTCATGATAATACACGCTACGGTGTCACCTGCTATTGCACTGAGAGATCGGATCTGAAATGCCTTCTGTAAGAACTGTCCAGGCTGTAGAGTTTCACCTCAAATAACAGAGAAGAAAAAGCAAGTATTTGATTATGTAGATACTTGCATTGCTACCTGCTTACAGGTGGAGTGTCCGTCTGTCACAGCAAGGGAATTTTTGTTCTGGCTTCTCTCCTGAGCTTACCCAGTTCTCATTTTTAATTTTCACTTGTAGCTGGTGCTCTATGTAGCTTACTTGGAGACACTGTGCAAACTGCTTTCATAGGGTAAAACCAGGGAGTAAGTTACGAATCACTGAGCCATTCCTGTTTGGAGGCTGCTTCCGTGTATATATTGAGGCATCTGCAAAAGAGGAAATCTCCCAGCAGAGGACACAACCGCTGTGGAAGAGCAGAGTGGTCTGAAAATGGTGCAGAGAACAGCTTGGACTACCCTTTGTAGCACAGAAAGGGAGCCTACTTGCATTGGGACTGACCATTTTATTGGCCAGTGGACTAAAGTGAGGCTGTGTTCGTATAACTTAATAAGATTTCCAAGTTCTGTTGGAGTTTCTTAGTTCAGACCTGAAAGGCCTCTGTACTTGATACCTGCCTGTTATTCTCAATGAATAGCTTTTGCAATTAATAGCTGAATCTAGGATTGTACAGTAACATAGTTCCTTTTTTCCTTCTTTTCTCTTTTTTTTTTTTTTTCCTGTTTAAGAAAGCCAAATTTGAGCTCAGTTGTCCATTTGTATTTTATCATTTTGGATAAATAATTTGTGAAGCTGTGCTCTGGAGTCAGTTTGGTTCTGCAAATTCTGTTACTGCCATCTGACACTTTCAAGGCTATGGCACCTTCAGAATGTCTAGTTATTTTAGCTCCAGTGAGCTGTGGGAGTTTCACTGAAGTTCTGCTTCCTTATGAGAGCCCCTGCACTCATGTAGATTTATTACTGTTCGGTAGTAATCGTTTAAGAAGTGTTCCTGGCATTTATGTTGCATAAGGAAAATTAGGTGGTTGGGGGCAATAAGGAATTATATTCAACGAGTGGCTCTGATAGCTAATGTGTTTTTCTTAACAAATTATGTATCAGCAAATAGTGCCCCTCTCTGCCAGGATCTGTATTTCACTTCGACATCTCAAGCATGTTATCCTAGCTTTCCTCTCTCTGGCAGCTCAACCAGAGCTGTCACATCACAAACAACTTTTTTCTTAATATACACATCTGGCGTTGGCAGTTGGACCAGCTTCATAAGAGCACATGATCATCATTCATTACAAGATTAAAAAGTACCCCATGGCATCATTGATGTTTTTTAACTTTGATCTTTTGCAGTTGTGATTCATCTCAGTTATAAGACTTCCCTTTAAAGGAACACAACCGATGACTTATTAGAACCTTCGTTCTAAGTAGCATAAACATAAAATTATGCACATCTTTACAAAATGTCATTTACTTTGTTGTCAGCTTATCATTTTAAGACATGACATCATGCTTTAGATCGTGAATTTGTAAGGCAAGGCACTCTGACCTTCTGTTGGCAAGTTGACTCAAGTGAGCGAATGCTGCGTGCTTTCCAGCAGCAGTAGGAGCAGCAGCAATACCATGACAGATACCGCAATCATTTAGAGCCTGACTTCAAGAGTGCTGAATAGTCATGGCATGCAGTGGCTCCAGTTGGTGTTTTGGATGCTCAGCACTTCAGAATGTCAGATTCCTAAATGTAAGTGCCATTTAGTTGTATTGAACATATGCTTGTAGAAGCTCACTGCCTTGTCTCTCTGTTATTATTGTAAAACTTTTTGGTAGAGTCAACAGTGTCAGGTTGTTCTGTTAGGAAAACCTGCCCATTTCTATATGAGAAAAGATCTTCTGTTGAGTTTTCCTTGGGAAAGATTTATTTATTTTTAATTATCTATTTAGGTCTATCTAGATTGCCATCCAGGGACATCTGCTGTGTTCTACAGTCTTTGTTCTGGATTGAGATAGCACAGTGCACTCTGAGTGATGGAGTCTAGAGAAGGGGTTGTATAAGTGCTTTGGGAATCATTAGGAAATTGTGCAGATACTTTTCTGTCCTCATATCCAGGATAAAACTTCTGCCATATGCAGATCTTAGCCAGCAGAGCTGCCTTCCAGCTGGGAGAGCTGAAAGAAGTTTTCCGGAGAAATAAGTTGTCATGAGGTCATAACTGACCAACAGATAGCAGAGATCACTGTAAATGAATTAAAAGAGGAAAAAAACCAAAACAATAAAACCCCAAACCTTTGCCTAAGCCCCCCTTGAATGCCTTTGCCTTACCTCTTTACAAATAGAGATAATGATTTGCCCTTCCATAGGCAGTAGGAGATGTGTCCTCTTTTTTGGCTGCTCTTGGTAGAAACCCAGTCAGGAGGGAAATTGGGAGGAAGGAGTGAGGAGAATTCTATATATATTTATATTTTGCCTGGCTTCCAAAGACTTTAGTTCTTGTCTAATTAAAAGTAGTCTCCAAAGTCACCAACCACAATTTTATCAGCATGAATGGAAAAGTAGTTCTGAGCTTTGAACTGAAGCGTTTCAGTAGGAGAAAACTGCTCTGCTTCATTCAGGTCCTGAATATTTCTCTGCTGCTGCAGCTTGCAAGGTGCACACGTGATGAAAGGTATGAGCAAACATTGCCTTTTTGTCTGTGCACGCTGCAGAAGCCAGCGAAAGCCGGCAGAGAGATTCTGCTCAGCCTCTCTATTAACTGTTTGGCTGACCCGGCTTATAAAACGTAGATAAGTAATTGAGATTTTTGAGATTCCTCGACTTCAAACCCTAACAGCTTTTAGGAAGTCCTGCCGCTTTTCTTTCAAAGGCGGAAGGTGGAAGGATAAGTCTGGGGCTAGTGGAATGTGCTTCAGAGTAGAACAGCTTTAAATCTTTCAGGTTTGGGTTGTGGGTTTTTTTAATTTTTTTTTCTTCTTTTTTTCTTTCTTTTTTTTTTTTTTTTTTTTTTTTCCGTTTTTTTTTGTTGACTGCCTGTCAGGAGCTGGGCTGGTGGCCAAGCAGGAAATGACACATCGAGAGGCATTTGTGTTGTGCAACATTTTGTGGAACTGATGCAAGGATACATTGTCTGTTTACGCATTCCTCTGCTAACAGCCTGCATGGCAGTAATTTTATTCAGGGACACATGGCATGCTACAGCAAGGAGCTAGATCCTTAACATCTCTTTATGCAGAATTATCGCAGCAGTTAAAACACGCTGTGTGTCCCCTGTTTAGAATATTATCTGGCTTGCCTTCAAAACCCACTCTACCAGCCCCCCTTCCTTCCCAAGAATATATTGATTTGACTGTGGTTTCTTGCTCTGTAGTAGGTTGGGGCAGTGGAGAGAGAGAGTTTGCAGAACAAGAGGAAATTTTACAGGCAGGTCCTACTTTGTGCATCCACCCCAGACTGTAAATGTAGCATCACTGTTTCTTCAAGCGATGTGTTGCAGGAACTGAGCACAGAAGTTTGCATCGACGTGCATTTTGGCATGGTGAGGAGACTTTTAATTAAAGTCAATGCTAACTACCCTGAGATACGATGAACGAGTCCTGGGGTTTCATCCAAACCAAAGCTAGAAAATCTGTGACTCGCACTGGTGTTTTTCAGAGTGACAAATCTCTACTGAGATCAGCTGGGTTATTCCGGATTTCTCCCAGCGTAAGTGGGAGCAGAGGAAGGCAGAGTGGGCGGTCTGGCGGTTTGCAAGTTGCTCTAAATGACTTTGTGAAGCTCAACATTTGCCTTATAATGCCCCTTTGTAAGAAATGAGGCAAAATGTGAT